GTATTCAAAAAAAATTTGGTCATCTACAATAAGTTTTACAAGAATATTAGTGAAACATAAATAAATTTGATTGTCAAAATAATAATTATAAATTAGTCATTGAAACAAAAAAAGTAAAAAAAATATGTTTGACGATGATTAAATTTACTTTTATGGGATTATATTTTTTAGATAAAAATAATAAAAATTTAGATTGAAAATTATTATTTTTTCATTTCCGTTAGAGGAAAAGGGTATATGTGAGTCATTTGTTTACAAATAGGGTATATATGTGCCTCTTTCATAATAAAGGGTATATCAACTCTAAATGACAAAGTTGAGGGGCAAATTAGACCCTTTTCCCTTCTAATAATAACTAATTAAAAGAAGAAGAAGCGAAATTGTCTTTTTTTTTCTCTTTTCACCAAACCAGAAGACAAAAAGACTATTCAACTAAATAATTGAAGCAAGAAGGGAAGGGCTCTTAATTAGGGGGACTCAAAATTAAAAGAGCTTAAAATGATAAATTTCTATCCAGTTTATAATTATAGTGTTAAAAAGAAGTTCAGAACCTAAATAAGTCCGAAAAAGATAAAAAAAATATTTTGAACCCTCAAAAATTCGTCATTATACATAATTCACTCTCCAAAATTAACTTGTTCTTGTGACAAAAGTGAAGTGGTGTATTTTTCGATTATAATCAAACTACAATTAGTACTATTTATACCCATTCTTTTATAAACAAATTTATGATATCGGATACTAATTTAATATTTTGCATTGTATTTAGGAAACACTTATACAATGCAAAAAGACATTTTGAATCTTTTTGATAATATAGCAATAGCAAGAGGACTTGAATTTTTCGATTCTGTTATTTATTTAAATTCTTTTAACATCATTTTGAGTGCGAGATATATGATATTCAGCAATAAAGTCGCAGAACTATTATTTTTCACATTAAATTTACCCCAGCATCGAAACAGAGATATATGATATTCAGCAAACCTTTGTGAGCTTATAGAATTTGTAAACATATTTAACAATAGCCAAGTGAATACTAACATCAGCAGCAGCAGCATTAATATTAACAATCTATACACAATCTATACTGACGTTGCTTTATTTTTCTACCATTCAACGGGGATCTCTTCAACGGTTATAATATCTTCGTTGGAGGTATAAACACTTGAAATGCATTCACAGTTCAAAGGAGAGAACGATGCTCACACACAAAACTTCAGGAATCAGGACTGCTGAAACTTGGAAGCATCGAAAAATTGAACTGTAAAAAAACATTTCATAAAACAAATTAGAAATCGGAGAAGTAACAGAAACAGAAATTTGAGTAAAATAATAAAATCGACATGGGTTTAGAGAAATATTTTCTGATCGAAACGAAGAAAGTGAATTAAATTAAACAAAGAAGAGCCAAGTCTGTGACATCTAATTGACTCGGACACACGTTATAGCTGTTATAATATCAAAATTTTTAAAATGTGTAAATGAAGCATCATCATTTATACCTCAGGGCGAAGTTCTCTACGGTGATCTATATCAATATTAATACCATCGACATTTTCCTTGATCTTCCGCTATCTCGGAGGAGTCAGTGAGGTTGAGTAATGGACATAATTAGAAGGAAACTTCATAATTACCAAAGCTATCTGAACATCAAAACCATAAAACTCATGTAATAATTACACACATTCTTTCATAAAATTGTAACCAGTCTAACATATGTATATATAAAAAGAAACTGTGAACGCAAAGGGAAAGTAAAAAGGGGAAAGAACAACTTACATTTGTTAAAGAGCCATTTGTTTTAATCATTACAGGCATTCCCCATCGATGTATATGCTGGGAATTTGAGCAATTTCTGTCCAGTATTCCCCCTTTTCAAATTCTAGTAGTGGTGTGAGCAATGGACATTTTGAAATCGATAGTTTAGAGAGGGAAGAGGGCATCCCTTTTAATGGAAGGGATTGGAGATTAGAGCAATCATATATGGTCAGCTGAGAGAGGGAGGAGGGCAGTGCTGATTGAGGAAGTGATTGGAGATTACGGAAATTCATGATTAGTAGAGTTTGAAGCGAAGTGAGGTGCGAAAAGTGGCCTTGTTCCAGCATTGACTGAATTTGAGGTAAATTACCCTCAATACATAGATATTGAAGAGAGGTGAGGCTTTTGAGATGTTGGCTGCTTAATGTTTTCAGATTGGATACCTCAAGTCTTGTAATAGAACAAGGCAACTCCCAATGTTCAATATCTTCGTCACTCCCATCATGAGAGATCAGTAACTCTCTGAGACAGGGGAGTGTCTGTAAACGCCACTCCTTTCGGCGGTTCACCAGTTTCTTGCAATTCCAGATTACAAGTTGCTGCAATCGTCCTCGAGGAAAGGACTCTATTTCTGGACAATTAATCAGTTCCAGTGTCTTAAGAGATGGAAGGAGTTCTGGCAGCCAGTTCAGCTTCTTGCAGTCTCTAATACACAAATACGTCATCTGGGTCCCTCCACATGCCATCGAGAGTTTTTCACATTTCTGAATATAGAGACTTTCAGTGGCAGTAGGAATAGATAACCTAGTAAGGTTGTGGCAATTCCTAATACTCAAATTGCGTGCTGTTGGGAGCAACTCAGCTGATATATCATCTATACAATCACATTCTACCACTTTCAAGGAACTGGGCAGTATGCTAAAAGGTAAGGAGTTACAATCCCTAATATAAAATTCCTCAATTTGTTTCATCCCTTCATCAAAAACAACTCCAACCTTTGGACAACCAATAACATTAAATCTTTTTAAACTTGAAAGTTGGATCGGTGTCTCCAAACTGAGTTCAGGGCAATTTTTAACCAAAAGCTTCTCAAGTGTAGGAAACTCTCCTCTTCCTGGTAGGTGCCATTGCTTCCACTCAGGCATATCTTCAAATCTAAGCTCCACAAGAGAGTTAAAAGGCGACAAACTACCATAGAATTCTTCCGTCACCTCTGTTATTCCATGCATCCCTCTAATCCAAAGAAATTTCAAACAAGGGAGTTGTCCTAGTGCTGGCAACGAATAACAGTTCTTGCAGTTTCTAAGAGACAATTTCACTAGCTTAACAAACAAAGGATCAGCAACCCAATCGGGAAAGTTTGTCCCTCTATATCCAATGATTTCGACTTCTTTTATGTTTTTATGTGGGCGTAGCTCCTCAAGTATGTCTCTTTCTGTTTGTGCATTGTCGGCACTACTACTTCCACTCCACTCCAATGATAACTTGTCAACATGATTCTTCTCCCTCATCTTTGCCTTCAAAACTTCCCTAATATCAACCACATGTTGCAACTCTAAAACTGATAGAGATCCGTACAAGTTATGTACTTCACCCAAATCTTCCATTCTCGAACCACCTAGAAGAAACTTGGCTCCCACTAGCACTTGGAGGCTTTTCAACTTGCTCAGATGTAGCGGCATCTTCAAGCGAGGAGTGTTGCTTATGTCGAGGTAATGTAAGTTGATCAACTTCTCCATCTGCAGCGGTAGCTCCTCAATATCTGCACAAGAGGACAGGAGAAGTGTCTCCAAGTTATACAACACACAAATGGAATCTGGCAACCTTTTAAACTTCGTGTGAGAGATATCCAAAAATCTCAGGAGCTTTAATTTGATAAACAAGTCATTTGACAACTCCTTAATACTGTAATGAGATAGTGATAATACCCTCAAGGATCTTAGTCTAGGCAGTATGTTAAGCTGCACCCTCTTGCTTAGATTATTGTTGTTATAATAGGGCTGGATATTGATTGGAAGTAATGTCCTCAGCTGCTCTGATTTAAAGAGTGATTTCAATTTCTCAAAGTCACCATCTTCTCCTATTAAACAGGACATGTGCCGACATTGTTCCAACATGTGCAATCCTTTTTTCTCTTCCAACCTTATACAAAGATTTGAAGAAGCAATTTGGGACAAATCATTGACAAGGTCATGCATTAAGAATTTCTCTGAATTCCATTCAGAAGACTCGGGGACCCTTTCGAAAAGTGATCTTGACCTCAACTCGAGAAAGTATTGGTTACCTGAAAGCAACTGCTGTACAAGACCATTAGCAATCCACAGGTGAATAATTTGGTCTTTGCAAAATTGATAATCTTTGGGATATATTGCACAATAAGCAAAACATTGCTTCAAAGGTGCAGGAAGATCATTGTAGCTTAACATCAACGCTGGTAATATACCATTTAAACAACTTGGAAGCTCCCATATTTCACTTCTTAAAATGTCTCTCCACTCATCCACCTCTGATTTGCAGCGTAAAGCACCAGCAAGTGCCTTTAGAGCTAAAGGCAATCCTTTGCATTTGCATGCAATTTGTTTTCCAATCTCTTCAAATTCTGGATGTTCTTTAGGATCCTTATATTCTAGTGAATGTCGTTTCAATAGATCCCAAGAGGCTTCATCAGATAGAGTCCCCACATTGATTGCCCCACAGCCCATCATCAAGGCAACACTCTCTTTACGTGTCGTCACAATAATCTTACTTCCTATATCTCCTTGTACAAAAACATTTCTCAACTCATCCCACTCGGTGTAGTTGTCATTCCACACATCATCTAGAACAACAAGAAACTTCTTTCCTTTTAAGCTTTCCTTTAATTTGACTTGTAGCTGATTAAGATTTTCATCAGCCTTCAAGTCATATGAGTCAATTTCTTGAAGTAAACCTTTTGTTATTCTAAAAGCATCATATGCCTCAGAAACACAAAACCAAGCTCTCAAATCAAAATAGTCCTTCACCTTCTCATCATTGTAAACGACTTTAGCAAGTGTTGTCTTACCCACGCCGCCCATTCCAACAATTGGAACTACAGTCAGCTTTTTTCCACTTGCATCTTCAGACAATAAACGGTCAATCAATTCCTCTATATCATTCTGCCTTCCAAAGATATCAGAATCATCAACCAAAGAAGTTGAAGGTGTTCTCGTTTCTTGTTTAGTCGAACCAAAATGCTCCTTTAATCCAAGGTCACCAATTTGCTCTTGCAAATCCTTCAATGTTTCAATAGTGTATTCCAACTTGTTCTTTATGTTAAGAAAGAAATCATCACTCAAGCACAGGTTAAGTTCACTTACTTGCTGGTTGCTTGTTTCTCCAAGATTTTGATGCTTACCTTCAGCCTCAAGTCTCAAAGCTTCATAATTGACTTGTTCAATCAAGTTTTCAGCACCATCCACAGCATCTCGAAGCTCATTAAGCCACTCTCTCACAAATTGATTTGATGCTTGCTTATTCTCTGCATCACTTAGCACAGCTTGAAGACCAAGCAAAGTCATTCTCAACTTCTTTAAGAGACGAACATCTTTCTTATGCTTCTGGAACATCTTGAGCAGATCACCCTTAGGTGCAAGCCTATCAAAGATAACTTGCAGGCCTGAGGAGAGAAATGCACCACCAACTGCTAAGCCAACCTCCATTTCTGAAATCTGCAAAGCAAAACACAAAATGATGTTTTAAGAATTTTTAGAAGATGAATGTCTCTAACTTCAATTACTAATAACTTTGATTTACTTGTTTGAATTCTATGAGTAATTTGCAAACAAGAATATTGGTACAACAATAGTTTCTACAGTGTACAACTGACAGCTATAGGGAAAAAAATTAAAGAATTTCTCTTTTCCATGAATATGACATTTCAGCAAACAACAAGACTTTTTTGTCTTCATAATATTTTTTTATACTTGAAAACATGTCAAGAAGTTGGGAATTTGATAACACCAAGAGCCACAGTGAAATGATAAAAGTTTTCCCGTATTTAATTAGAGTTTTCGAGCTTGAATGGTTGTGATGAAGTCCTCTTGATAGTGAGAGCTAAAACACTCCATAATAAATTATTACCAAGCTAATTCAGATTAGGCAAAAACATATTTGTATTTGTTATTTACAACAATAGGTACATAACAACTACATGTGTTCATGCAAAGACTTTTGGGGTTAATATTGACCTATTGGTATAGTGGCAATATTTGTAGAGTAACTTTTTAAAGTTTAGAATTTTAATTATTCAGATTCAATCGATTAAGTTTATTTATCTATTTTTTTCAAAAAAAACTTTTAATAGATCTGAAAAGATCAAAACGAATCAAATTTTTTAACAATATTCAGACTTATTTAATACACAACAAAATAATCACGTCATTCACCTATCTCTTTGTGAAACTTCCCATTTCTTCGTTAAGACTTCCTTCCTCTCTTTTCTCGATCATACACCACTTTTTTTAACTAATAAATTTTCGTAATCTTTATAAACATTTTGTTTAGTATTTTTTTTTGGAGGGGTGGTTGGAGAAAAAAAGTTTTAAAGACCTATAGTTTAGTCTTTGGTGGGGACTGACATACCACCAAATAATAGACATATTTTACAAAAAACGAATAGTGTAAATGCAATATATGATTAATAAATAATATAATGTACTTAAAATAATTGGAAAGAATATATATTTAATAAAGTAGTGATATGACTGATATTAAGGTAAGCAAAATACTGCATATCTCTTATTTCTTGAAAATGTATCTTTTTTGTTGCGATGAATCTTGTATGTATTTCTAAGAAAAGAAATTTCTCTATTTTTTGCGGTCTTAAAAGATCGTGAAAATGCGTAAAAGTTCTTGAATGGAAAAGAGATGTAATTCCAGTTCCTTTAGAGTCAATTCTATATTTCCAATGGGGGCAGTTGACAATTTAATCCGATTTTGACGATTATTTTCATATCACAGTAACAATGCAGAACAAAGGCCCTGGTCCAAGTTGTTTGAGAATAGTGGTATTGAGTTTCTCGACCATCTGATTTAGGGGTTTAGTATTAGTCGCTTCTATTTCTGGGTGCGGATACCAAACACTGAATGAGAAAACAATACATCCAATAAAAAAATATATAACACATTGCTAAGAAAATAATATCCATATCCATCTTCAGTTGCAATTGTTGTTCAAAATCATCTAGTCATATCTCCATCAAATGTCTTCAAACTTTGTAGAGACAAACTCTTTAGACAATTCCAACAAATCTAAACAACACTTCAAATTTCTCACACACACACACATAGATTAAAATTCAAATCCACTTCTTCGAGCTTATTCAACCATTGCGAGTTATCTTTCTAATTTGATTTAATTTTCTGTACACAAATCTTACAAAATGAGTACTCTAACCACTAGTTGAGTCCCAAACATATTTAGAAATCGAGTTTGTCAACTTACAAAAGAAGCTTGCACTAGAAACATGAAATAGTATCAGCGGTACACTGATTGTAATCGCCCTTCTTTGATAGTCGCATCTCAAAGACTTGCCTATAACAACAGACCTGAAAATTCACTGTGGACAACATAATAGCTTTAGTGGAAAGATTTAAAAAAAAAACAAAAATCGGGAACAGATGTAAAAATAGCAGCAGCACCTTAGAAACACTTCCTACGGACAATTAATGTACCAGACTTGTCGTACTCGCTCTTCAAAATCCACATCTGATTAAGCACAAAACATGTTTAAGTTAGCAACAACACATGAGTTCAAACTGTAGCTTAAAATTGCAAAAGTATATGCAAGAGAAGATATCTAAAGACAGGGATTTTCTAACTCGTTGGATTAACACCCTGCAAATGTATATCTATAGCCCTTACCTATCAAAATGTAGTTGTCTGGTCGCTATACGAAAGAAAAAAGATGTTTCGCTTTTTTTGTCTACCTCTTTTATCTATCAAAATTTCTAGTGACATAGGATGGTTGATGATTACAAGAACTAAAAACTTTTGATTAAACATGGTGGCAATTAAGACTTGAATAAAAACACGGTAAGAGCATAAACCAATAAGCCATGAGAAACATAAAATCATATAACATCTGACAATGGAAGTTGCAGTTATTTCCTAAAACTTGTGATCGAATTATCCTTTCAAAAAGTTAGATTCTGTATGGAGCTTACCTATAAAGCTATGTGTTTGATGATGAGCACGACATGATTTAAAATGAAAAGAATTAAGAAAAAAGCAAAGTGAAATAAAAAGCTTCTGAGGGTAACGAATAGCTTACATCAGTTGGAGAGCCATTTGTTTTAATTGTTAAATATATTCCCAATCGATCTGTATGGTGGGGATATGAGCAATTTGTGGCCAGTATTCCCCCTTTACAAATTCTAGTAGTGATCTGAGCAATGGACATTTGAAAATCCATAGTTTAGAGAGGGAGGAGGGCAGTGCTGATTCTGAAAGTGATTGGAGATTAGGGCAATTGTAGATGGTCAGGTGAGAGAGGGAGGAGGGCAGTGCTGATTCTGAAAGTGATTGGAGATTAGGGCAATTGTAGATGTTCAGGTGAGAGAGGGAGGAGGGCAGTGCTGATTCAGCAAGTGATTGGAGATTACGGATTCGTAGAGTTTGAAGCGAAGTGAGGTGAGAAAAGGAGGAAAGCTGGCCTTGTGACTGAATCTGAGATAAATTACCATCAATACGTAGATATTGAAGAGAGGTGAGGCTTTTGAGATGTTGGCTTCTTAATGTTATCAGATTGGATACCTCAAGTCTTGTAATAGAACAAGGCAACTCCCAATGTTCAATATCTTCGTCACTCCCATCATGATGGATCACTAACTCTGTGAGTCTCTGTAAATGCCACTCCTTTCGGCCATTCAACAGTTTCTTGCAATATCTGATATAGAGTTTTTGTAAATTGAAGGGCAATTCTCCTTCTATTTCTGGACAATTAGTCAGTCGCAGTTCCTTGAGAGATGGAAGGAGTTCCAGCATATTTTCTGGCAGACACTTGAGCTTCTCACACGCCGAAATATTCAGTGACGTCAGCTGGGCAGCTCCTCCACATGCCACCGATAGTTTTTCAACATTCTCACAATTGAAAATACAGAGAGTTTCAGTGGCAGTAGGAATCAAAAACCTAGTAACGTTGTGGCAACTCTCAATACTCAATTTACGTGCTGTTGGGATAAACTCAGGTGACATATCATCTACACAATCACAATTACTCACACCCAAATACTCCACAAACATCTCACAAACTGGTACCTCAAATTTCAATTTTGGGCAACCAGATATCTGTATTCTCTTCAAGGTAGTGGGCAGTATGCTAAAAGGAAAGGAGGTAACAGAGTTACAATCACTGATATTTAATGCTTCAATCTGCTTCATTGCTTCAAGTTGGAATCTAAACAGTTGAGCATCATCAAAAACAACTGGACAACCAACAACTTCTAACCTTTTTAAACTTGAAAATTGGATGGGTCTCTCCAAACTGAGCTCAGGGCAATTTTTAATTGAAAGTTTCTCAAGTGTAGGGAACTCTCCAATTCCTAGTGCGTGCCATTGCTTCCACTCCGTCATATCTTCAAATTTAAGCTTCTCAAGACAGTTAAAAGGCTTTTTGGACGACAATCTGCCATAGAATTCTTCCGTCACCACTCTTATTCCATGCATCCCTTTAACAGAAAGGAATTTCAAACAAGGGAGTTGTCCTAGTGCTGGCAAGGAGTAACAGTCCTTGCAGTAGCTAAGAGACAATTTCACCAGCTTAACAAACAAAGGATCAGCTACCCAATTGGGAAAGTTTGTCCCTCTATATCCACTGATTACAACTTCTTTTATGTTTTTATGTGGGTGTAGCTCATCAAGTATGTCTCTTTCTGTTTGTGAATTGTCGGCAATACTACTTTTACTCCACTCCAATGATAATTGCTCAACATGATTCTTCTCCCTCATCTTTGCCTTCACAGCTTCCCTTCTATCAACCACATTTTCCAACTTTACAACTGATAGAGATCCATATAAGTTTTGTGCTTCACCCAAATATTCCATTCTCCAACCACCTACAAGAAACTTGGCTCCCACCAACACTTGGAGGCTTTTCAACCTGCTCAGATGTAGTGGCATCTTCAAGCGCCAAGTGTTGCTTATGTCAAGATGACGCAAGTTAATCAACTTCTCCATATGCAGCGGTAGCTCCTTAAGAGAACAACAAGATGACAGGAGAAGTGTCTCTAAGTTATACAATCCACATATGGAATCTGGCAACTTTTTAATCCATGTCTCAGAAAGGTCCAAAAATCTGAGGAGCTTTAATTTGATAAACAAGTCATTTGGCAACTCCTTATTCTTGTAATGAGACAATGATAGTACCCTCAAGGATCTTAGTGTAGGCAGTATGTTATGCAACACCCTCTTGCTTAGATAGTGCGATCTGAATTCAATACGTATCGGAAGCAATGTCCTCAGCTGCTCCAATTTGTAGAGGGGTGTCAATTTCTCAAACTCACCATCTCTTCCCATTGAATAAGATACGTGCCAACTTTTTTCCAACATAAAAGATCCTTTTCTCTCTTCCAACCTGATACAAAGTTTTGAAGATGCAATTTGGGCTAAATCGTTGACAAGGTCATGCATTAGGAATAATTCCTCTATGTTCCTTTTAGAAGGATTTGGGACCTTTTCAAATAATGATCTTGATCTCAACTCTAGAAAGTATTGGTTGCCTAAATCTTGATTTATTTCATCTTTCACTGGTACGAGACCATTGGCAATCCATAGATGAATAACTTGTTCTTTCCTAAATGGATAATCTTTAGGAAATATTGCACAAAAAGAAAAGCATCGCTTTAAATGTGCGGGAAGATCATTGTAGCTCAACATTAACGCTGGTAATATGTCATTGTCTCGCAGCTCCCATATTTCACTTCTCAAAATACATTTCCACTCATCAATCTCTGATTTGGGGCGTAACATGCCAGCGAGCGTCTTAAGAGCTAAGGGCAGTCCTTTGCACTTGGCTGCAATTTGTCTTCCGACCTCTTCAAGTTCCGGATGTCCCATAGGATGTCCTTTGCACTTGGCTGCACTCTCTCATCATTGTAAGCGGCTTTAGCAAGTGTTGTCTTACCCAAGCCGCCCATTCCAACAATAGGAACTGCAGCCAGATTTTTTCCCTTTGTATCCATAGACAACAAACGGCCAATCAAATTCTCTATTTCATTCTGCCTTCCAAAGATACCAGAATCATCAACCAAAGAAGTTGAAGGTGTTCTAGTTTCTTGTTTGGTCGAAATAAAATGCTCCTTTAAGCCAAGGCGACCAATTTGCTTTTCCAACACCTCCAATGTTTCAATGGTTTCTTTCAACTTTTCCTTTATGTTAAGAAAGAAATCATCACTCAAGCACAGGTTGAGGTCACTTACTTGTTGATTGCTTGTTTCTGCAAGATTTTGATGCTGGCCTTCCACCTTAAGCCTCAAAGCTTCATAATTGAATTCTTCTATCAAGTTTTCAGCGCCTTCCACAGCACTCTGAAGCTTATTAAACCATTGGCTCACATGTCGATTTGATGCTTGCTTATTCTCTGCATCACTTAGCACAATCTGAAGACCAAGCAAAATGTCCTCCAGCTTCTTTAAGAGCTTAACATGATCCTTATGCTTCCGAAACATGTTGAGCAGATCACCGTTAGGAGCAAGCCTATCAAAGAGAACATTCAAAGCCGAGGAGAGAAATGCACCACCAACTGCTAAGCCAATCTCCATTTCTCAAATCTGCAAAAGCAAAACAAGGAAACACACAATATGATTCTTTAACAAAATATATCTTCAAATAGTGTCTGTTATGAGCTTAATTCTACCTGTTGAATGCTAAGAGTAATTTGCAAACAAGAATGATCAGCGATTGCTCTCTCTTTGTTTAGTACAACTATGTTCTAGCTAATCTACAAGAAGCAAAACTTTCCTCTTTTCTCTTTTCAAAAAGTTGAATAATTGAGGCAAGTATCTTTTGCTTTATGTCTATTCATTACTTTTGCTTTATGCACTTATTCATTTTTAAACAGCTCAGTGTAGTGTGCTTAATTGAGCCCAGCATATCATGAATACGTTTTAGAATTGGATTCTGTAACATTTTCCTTTTCTCAATGGTATTGTTTTTTCTGTGTTTACTTGAGCTGATGGCCTTTCCGAAACAATCTCTGTACCCTACAGATAGTGATAAGGTCTACATACACACCCCACTTGTACGTGGGTTATACTTGGTATGTTGGTTGTTTCTATTTTTCTATGTTGACCTAACATACAAACATCCAACATATACTGTAGTTTTAGCAATATGCAAAACTACAAAATACAGACTAAGAAATAGCTTCTTCTTTTTTTCCTTTTACTGAAGCAACAACTCAACGGATTGAGTACAATTAGCATATGTTTAATATTAATTGTAATAGTGGCATATTTAGTTTTAAAAAATCTATCTCCAACCTTGTCACTCTATAGATTTTTCGCTAGATTACATATAAACTCTCTCTACCAGACATCAATATTTCGGCCATTCACCAGCTTCTCGCAATCGATGATCACAAGTTGTTGTGCAATCCTCAACTGTTTGTGTTATAACTATGTATTCTCTCTTTAAAAAAAAGAAACAAGAATAGGATTCTTATGTTTTTATGAGGAATAAAATGTGTACTAAAAAAAGGGAACTTTCGCAAATAACCAGTATAATAAATCTAATTATGCTTCATTGCTATAATTCACATATTTATAAATTGTAGCTATAGTTTAAGCTTACTCGTTGTATAATTCGCGAGTTTTTATAATTTGCAGGTTTATATAATTCGCGGGTACATTTGTATAATTTAGTTATTTTTGTATAAACTTGAAAAATAACGAATTTATACAATTTACAAACATTTGAAGTGTAAACAGTTTTACAAATTATACTATATGAAATTACATTATACAAAAGTTATACAAATTTCGATTTATACAAACGTGTGAATCAACCTATTTTTTCATTTCAAAATAGATTTGAATCAATTGAAGCATATGAAAATATTTTTGATTTTTTATTTTGTGGTAAATTGAGATTACTAGATAATAATGAGAATTTTTTAACAGAAAACATTGTCTTAACCTTGAACTTTCTTTAATGAGTGTAGGCTGTAGTTATTTGGGTTTTTTCAAAAATACTAGTTTCTAACAACGTGCGTTGCACGTTTATTTTTTACTATTGTTATATAATTTAAAATTGTGCTATCAAATAGAAAATGTTTAAATCAACAATATTAATTTTACCAATTATATTTCATGTATCAACAAAAATAAATAAAAAGGGATAGCACATTTGGCATCAAGCAAAAAGTATGTAAAATTAATTAATATAATATAGTCTCTTTTAACTTTGTCCAAGTCTTTTTTATGATCTAAATATTAGTGATAACCTTTTATAGCCATAAATGGATATGAAAAATACATGCACACTTATTGATAAGATTGCCTATATTATTTTAATGAGAAACGATAGAGTGAAATATTTATATTATTTTTAAGTAAGGTTCTAAAATTAAAAGACAGTATTATCAAAATTATACAATATTAAAAGCAATTACATTTAAAATATAAAACTGACAGATATATAATTTAAATACTGAACTTCATATATACATCTACTTCAAAAGCTCATAATAATAGTTAAAAGATTACAACACCACAATGAGTTTATTAGAACGCAAAAGAAATTAGAAACAACAATAATCTTCGTGATGGAGAATATATATCGAAAGAGATATGAGGACTTAGGCATGTCTAAAAAGAAGTCTTCAAGTTCTTCTCCCCACCTCATGTATTCTATTTTTTCATGTCTTTTTTTGCCTATCATAGATGAAATAGTTTTTTGATTATCAGTTGAATTACAATTTTTTTTCATTTTTCACTGGCTATCACCTAGTTCTTAAATAGCAGTAAAAAATGTCTGTTTAAATTCTATATTTTTCAGTTCTAAAATATATAGATGGATGGAAAGATGAAAAATATATGTCATAGTTAGACTTAATAAGAGAATTAACATTACAACTAATAATTATTGCTTTGAACTTGGAATTTTAGTCTAGTTTGAATGAATAATTAAAAAGATGAAAAACACAAATCATTGTAATTAGTAATAAGTGAGGCGATTACAAGTCATCTCAATAATTTATTACTAAGTCATTCATATATAATAACACACTTTTAATATCTTAGTAATAATAAATCAAATAAATAAAACCAGTGGCATTAATCAGATAAATGGGGGGTCACTCTTTTCATATGCCAGTAATTATTCTAGGATATACATACATGTACAATTAAAATATATCTTTTCACATTCTAAACATTTAATTATTTGCTTATATTTTAATTAAGAATTAATTTAAGGAAATGCAAAAGTCATCTATATTTTTATTAAAATGATACAATTTAACATTTAAACTAAATAATTAAATGCTTTTATAACATTTTAATTTACAGTAAGGGTAAAATTATAATTCAACGTTTAACTTCTTTTGGTTCCCTGTTATAATAATACTAGTTTCTGAGGACGTGCTTCGCACGTGTGTTTCATGTGAATTTTTATAGATACGTTGGAATGACTAAAATTTCATGGAAATATATTCGTAAATTGTAATGAATAATAAAATGTAATAATTAAAAAATAAGAATAAAGACTTACGACAATAAAACATTTATAGAAAACTAAATTAAGAAGTCTAAAAGAGTGAAAAAAAGACAAAAAGAAACAGAATATTTAAGTAAAAATACAATATAGACATTATTCTTATAAGATTGATATATATAGATGAAAATATAAGTACAAAATTAGTACATAACTCTCTGAGTTTTTATCGACTCCTTTCATATCCTATCAAAATTCAAGAGTCTTCATCATCTGTTTTTACTATAGATTAAAATAAATAGCCTAATAATCTTCATATGGGTTTCATGAGATAAAGAAGTTGAATTTATATAAATAGAATAGAAGGAATATCAAAAGATATCTTAAAATTTTAGTTTAAATGTTTGGAGGTTATGAATATGAAAAGATGAGAGTTGTGAATATTAAGAGTATAAAAGTTAAATAAGTAATTAGAAAATAATAATAAATAAATGAAGAATATGAAAAAAAATAAAGTTAGCAAACCATGTAAAAAGAACAACTAAAGTTCAAATCATGTAATTAAGCATTAATGAATTTAAATTTGTGAAGCTAGAGTCATTCTTTAATAATAATCAAGAGGACATTATCAATGTGCACCTCCATTTTGTAGATTTGCACCCTTTAAATTATTAAATTTCGTTGTTTCTCATAAAGGATAATACTTTATCCATATCAATTATATTTATTATTCATGAGAGGGGTCAAGGAAAAAGTTATAAGAAGAGGAAAAGAAAAGAAATTTAGGTAAAGATTTTTTTTAAAAAAATTATAATTATTACATACATATAGATTATAGATGATAAATATTAATAGATTAGATATTTAATTAGGAATTAATTTTAGGAAGTCTAAAAGTCATTAACATTTAATTAAATTTATACAATCAAATATTTAAATATTTTATAACAATTTAATTTATAGAAGGGGTAAAACCGTAATTCAACTTTCAACTTTTTTGTTCATGCTTTTAATAATACTAGTATATGGGCAAGTGTGTTGCACGTTTACTTCATAACTATGAATAAAATGATAAACAATTTAATTTTTTTAAAAATGTTTGTAATGTATAGTTAACTTGAAGAATTTTTTTACATTAGTCCTCCCTTTATTATAATTTTGATTATATATTTGTTTAAAAGATAAAATAAAGTAGCAAAAAACATAAATGGAGGCACACTATCTTATGATTAACTTTCTTAAAATGTCTTTTATGTCTCATAAAAATGTTGAAATTAAATTAATATTTATACATTTCAAGAAGATAAAATGTTTGACATTAATTAGTAAAAGATGAAATTCCCCTTCTCATTAAGTAGAATGCAATTAAGTAATTCAAATTTATAAATAAAAAACTTATTAGAAGGAAATAACTAAGATTTAAAGTGCAATGATTGATATTTAAATTATGTAATTGTACAAATAAAATATTTATATTTAATTAAATAAATCAGATTTTAATTTAATGGAGAGTCAAAATGACAATATTAGTATTCTTACAATTAAAAGTTTGTTAAAATATATTTTATATTTTTTTGTTAGAAAATTAATAGGAGCAATATTTAGTCAAAGGATAAAAGATCTTCTAACTTCTTAAGCATTTTGATGTATCATTTTTTTGATTTTGGGATTTGGA